ATCTAGGGGTTACTGTGCGAGAATAAACTAAAAAAAAAACAACCCAAAACCATAAAGAAGTATTCTCTGTACAACAGGAAGTACTTCTGTGTGAATCATTACAAGCCTGCTTCCCTAAGAGGTGGTAAGATTCCTCTGCTGTGGTTTTGGAGCTGGGCTGTGTGACTGAAAGCAGGTAAAGATCAATCCTGTGATTGTTAAGGGGGTTCATTAGGTGATTGCCTGCACACATACAGACTACGCTTTCTGGTTGCTAGAAGGTAGCTGTTAGCTGCCTGGTACTTGTAGAAAACCTTGTTAGTGTGTTTGGTCAAGCTGAGCTATTTGTGACTAACAAATAAATACCGTGTTAGTAATTGAGAAGCTAGGTAAAACATATTTTATTGATTTAACTTATTCTTTTCAACTGCCTATGTCATTTCCTCCAAACTGTACAACTAGTGTATTAAAATGTAAGATGCAAGATAGCTTTGCTTTTTTCATGTAACCTTTTCCATGCTATATTTTAGACACCTGGCTGAAATATTACCTATTCTGGTGCTTTTCCTATTACACTCAACAGTACATTTGTTTATAAGTCATTTGTATCAAAACACAAGTCCTCTGTATGCAAGCAATTAAATTTTCAGAGGCATATGAAGTCAATATGGCCTTTGTAAAAGAAGGAAACTCCTTAGCCTGTAAATCATCCAGGCTCAGATATAGTGTTTCTCATGACTGAGGAGACATCTCTTGCCATCCAGTCCTTCCTCCTCCTTCACACCTTCCTCTTCTCCTTCAGTAGCAGGCAAGTAACTCATTATCTTCTATGCCCTCCATTCTGGGGATTTATTTAGTTAATATACCTCTTAGTAATGCTACATGTTATTTTAACAAACAAGGTACTTCAAAAGCATATGCAGTGTGGTTTATGCTTTTCCAAAGTTTAGACCTATCAGCTTCCATACTTGTGCCTTTACTTTCAGAACAGGGTCAGCCAAGACAAGTCACCAGTGTGGTTGTTTTATAATTCAGTATGCATACAAGGATGAGAGAGGTGGGCTGATGTTGTTTCATTCAATATTCCCTGCTTTAAGGATCAGTCCATTAAATGGTTATTAATTTTTTTTTATTATTTCTTTTTGATTGTGGTTTAAAGGAGATTGCCCTCTGTAATGATACCATTTCCTTTCTGTCTTTTCTCTGCTGGATTGCTTTCCCACTGATGCATTTGTGAGCAAGCTCCCTAGCTATACTTAATTATTAAAAAGTCATTGCTCAAATAGAGCTCTGAAGATAAGGAAATATTTCTTACTGCGTATTACTGAATACCTGTTCATAATGGGTTTCATCTTTGTGTGGTCTCTCCCCTAATTTTGGAGTCAGACATATTTTATAATACATAGGTTCGAGTATGTATATTGTAAGAGCTACCAGCTACTAGAGGAAAAAATAGCAGAAATACAAAAGAAAATAACATTTTTTCTAGTGTAAAAGTTTTAGAAAAGCATACATAGCTTAGAATTTTTTAAATGGAGAGTGGCAAGGTGAGGCCCATGTTTGCAACGCATTCTAACCACATTAATTTTATTTATTGTAAAATGGAGAAAACGTTAGAATAAACATGTCCATGTTGATGTTGGCTTTTTTGTGTCCTTGCTTTTAGAAGATGCATTTACAACAGAACAGAGGTATTTGTGCAGGTATCAAATGATTGAAATTGCACATGTGTGCGTATGTGCCATGTCGTTTTCCACATATCCTAGAGTCAATAATAAAAAGTACATTTTTGAAGAGAATTTCACCTATATTATTTTCAATTTGAATGAATACTGGAAGAAATGCTGACGATGAACATGGTCAGTCTTGTTCAGTTTTAGGAGACAGTCACTTTTCTGGACTTAATTTTCTTCCTGAAACAAACATTTATTTGTAGAATTAAAAAAAAAACAAAACAAAAAACTTTGGATATTAAATAATACGTCCTGTGCTGTTTATTTGAGCCCTTCTTTTAGACCCAGAATATGTCTACCTGCTTACATCATGCCTCTCTAATCACAGACTGCAATATTATTTATAAAAAAAGAGCCCACAGCAGAAGAGATGATATATTACTTCATCTTCTGCCAGTAGCTTGGGCATGGAAGTACTGAGCTGCAGAGACCTTAGCCTATCCTCTTGAAGCCTGGTGTGCACTACCCCACAGGAAATATGGACAGGGTCAGGTGGAACTATTCCTGACACTTGTGCTGTCTAGCTTGCAGCTAGTGCAGGTGTGTACAACTTCCCTGTGGTCCGTGGTGTAGGCAACATCAGCAAGGCTGGTTTTGCTCTCCTTGCTCTCCCATCGCACCAGAAGCAGGCTGTGGACTAGGACTGTGTAGTTACGGCCAGAATCCTTTAGCAAATATGTCCTTTGTTCTTGGGGTAAAACCTTCCTCCTTTTGTGAGTTACTCTTGCTTTCACTGATCCCTTTACTTTCACTTTTTATGATTTTTTTTTTTCTCAATTTTCTGGAGTACCTGTACAACAAATAGAATTTTGGCTAACATTTTTTAATTATGCATGCTGATTAGACTGTCTTTCCAACAGGTACAGCTCTGCTGGTGAACTGTCATCATGTCATTCTACAATATTGAATTAAACTGGAATAAATTCTGCATTGGTTCTTTACCCTGTATTTTATTTCAGATGCCTCTTGTATATTGATTGCTGATTGTGATATAGACCATGGCACATTTCTTTCCTTCATTCCTAACATCTTCCTTACAGGTCCCTAGCTTTTTTATAAAAAGTGCACATGAATTAATATCTTTATATGCATTTGCAATGAGTACTTTGTAAACTTATAATTGGCAGCTTCTAGACTCTGGCAAAAAAAACTTTCAGGACCCTCCAGCCTGTGTTGTCGATCCCCCAGTGTGGGCAAGCAGAACGCAGTAACGACATGCAGCTATTATAAACAGTGCAAATTCTTTTGTCTTTCAGGACCTAGATTTCTCATCACATCCACGGGAGCCTTGTATATTTTAGACGTACAGAATGAAGATGGACTGTACAACTACCGATGTATCACAAGGCACAGATACACTGGAGAAACACGACAAAGCAACAGTGCAAGACTTTTTGTATCAGGTACTCCTTTATATATCATGTTAAATTAAGTATTCTTAATTTAGCGTGCTAAACTGGTAAGGCAGGTTCTTTTGCCTGTATGCACTAACAACCAATTTGTCTATCAAATGGAAAATAGAGGTGGTCAGTGGTGAGCTGCTGCTCCTGCAAAAAAAAGTCCCATTTAAAAATCATTTTTCTGTTTTTCATCTACTATTAGGTATTTCCAGAGAGCCTGTAGGGTGCATTGACATTTAGTAGGCTTAGGGTACTTTATAAAAGGACTGTGGGTGGGATTCATCCCATGAAAAGTAGACTTGTGCAGTGAAAGTGTCTAGTCACCTTAACTTCCTTGTGTAACCAAAGGAGAGGAACAATTTTAGGGGTAGTATATCTGACCTACTTCAGCTGCCCACTTTATGGTGAGATGAATTGCCCCATGGTGCCCACTTCTCTCTGTTAACCATAGCAGGAGCTCAGGACATTTAGCTCAGCTGTAGATATTTCCACGGGAGGAGTCTCAGGTGGGGTGAGGGGCATTTCAGCCTTCCTTTTCATTAATCGTGCTCTTTCCCTGGGGAAAACAGTGTGTTCCCCTGCTCCTGGGAAAGGTTTCCAACCAGAAGGGTTACGTGACCTGTGCCAGGCCACCCAGGGTGCTGCAGGCAGACAGGAGGGTTTGCTGGTGGCTGTGCATGAGCTGAGCCCCCAGGGCAAATGGCCTTGTGCAGCAGGCGGGAAAACAAGAAGGTAGATGGGGTATTTTATATCTTCCTTGTAATTGTAAGTCATCTCCTAATTGTTGTCTCTGTGACGGACTGTTGGGTTCCCACACACACTCCACACACACCCCAGATACTTAGGGCTGTCAGTGCTGTCCTGCTCCAATCCCACTTTCTCCCCATTTTGTCTCAGTGAGAGGAGGTGCTAGTTGTGGGTGAGGTGAGGAGGAGGAGCAGACCCCAGGCCTGGGTTTGGAACCTGCTCTCAAACATCTCTGTGTAGGATTAGCCCTCCTCCATCTCCCCTTCCTTTCCTTCATTTGCTGGGTGCCTGTAACTGCACCCAGTGTTTGCGTGTGAGCAAATCTGCAGTGGTATTCCCACATCCATGCAGTTAGCTAAGACTGTATCTCAGACTCTCTCTTCTTTCTCCCTGTATCCTTGCCTTACAGGAGACATGCCTCCCATCCCACTTAAAGCCCCACGGAGCTTTTCCTCTTTTTCACTAAGTTGCCCTAAATCCTAACCCTAAAGATCAGGCAGGGTGTGGTGGCCTTCACAATCTAACAGTCAGTGGGATGATTCTCCTTTTGTCTTTGTCCTCTTGTCTTTTGGTATTTTTTTCAGAAAAAAAATATCAGTGATTAGGTCTTAGCTCTTCATCCTCTGAGAGCCCTAAGGGAGACAGAGGTGGGCACAAGGTTTTGCATTAGTAACATACTTCCTGCCCTCCTGCAAAGTGGTCATTGCTGAAGGATTCTGGATCCCTCTGAACACACAAGTCAGTATTTACTGTACTAATGATAACTAACTATACTAATGATAAAAAAAGTAGTGCGATTGCTCAGGTTAGAATCACTTACCAGTCAGATCCAGGAGTTTCTTCCTTTGTCAGTGGGATGATTCTCCTTTTGTCTTTGTCCTCTTGTCTTTTGGTATTTTTTTCAGAAAAAAAATATCAGTGATTAGGTCTTAGCTCTTCATCCTCTGAGAGCCCTAAGGGAGACAGAGGTGGGCACAAGGTTTTGCATTAGTAACATACTTCCTGCCCTCCTGCAAAGTGGTCATTGCTGAAGGATTCTGGATCCCTCTGAACACACAAGTCAGTATTTACTGTACTAATGATAACTAACTATACTAATGATAAAAAAAGTAGTGCGATTGCTCAGGTTAGAATCACTTACCAGTCAGATCCAGGAGTTTCTTCCTCTGTTATATGTCCTCTGCAGGGAAAACTCTTGCCTCTTCTTTTCCCAGCCAGATGAAGAACAATTTTATCCTGCACAATAATCTGCGTGCTTTGGTCTTATAAGGATAGGCAGGGTCCTATCCTAGCTGGCTCCATAATATGGTCTGCTTCCGTATGAAATCATACTAAGGCTGAGCCAGTTGAAACATAAATAAAATCAGGCTTGTATCTTGGTTACCACAGAAAATTTTCTAGTTATTTTGCTGAACAAAAGGGGAAAAATGAAAGCTCTGTTTTGTTTGTAATTTGGGACAAGCATCCTAAAAGATATGTGCTGTCTTGAGTTCCTTTTTCTATTTTCCTCCACAGGCCAAATCAAAATAGGAGATTTTACCTGTATGCAATATTTGTTTTTTAAAATTCAATTGGATTAACTATTCTCCATTAGAGGTATAGTGGGCTCTGATTTCCAATTCTGTTAGTCTGTTGAACAAGTGCAGCCATTATGTGCAGAGTTTGTTTGTTAATATTTCGCAAACAGGTTTTCTTTTTTCTTTACTGGCATTTATATTTTAAATAGTGAGTCCTTTAAGAACTGAGATCAGAGAATGCATGAACATAGTTGTGAAATGTCTGCTTGCACGAGATCTACATTTTTGCCTGCCTTTTACATCCATAAATGTTCTTTGCTTATTTGGGGATGAAATAGTTTGTGGTGGATATTGAATCATAGTCTCTTAGCCACATTTTTGATAGAAGTTAAGCTTCATTATTATTTGAAAGAGAGAGAAAAGTAACTTGCATATAATAGCAAATACACATGTGAATTAGTAGGCCTATTACCAAAAAAAAAGTTCCAAATTTCATTTGGAGTAAGAATATCTTCTTGAAATCATGTGGCATTTGTGCATAAATTTAAACCCAAGGCCATTAACATACTACAAAATATTCCTCTAATGTCCATTATAGTGTGCTTTTCTCAAGATAATTTTGTCCAGCTATGAATCCCAGCTCTCAAATTCTTTATTGGTTTTTAACCTCCAAAACACCTTACAATTTTGAAAGCATAATGATTTTGTTGCTCTGTACTTCAAAGAAGATGCAAAGTAGAATATTTTGGAACAGTATTTTGCATTAGTTTTTCCACCATTGTCATTGCTAGAAGTCATTCACAGCTGACTATTAAGGAATAGTAATAATTCAAAAATATATATATCACATATTGGAGTTGGGTTACGTTACTTTGCTATTGACTTTGTTGCAGGTAGTTGTAAATGAACCCTGGCATTTATTTTGTGCTTTTTTTCTTTTTTCTTTTTTTTTTTTCCTTAACTGGAATATATATAGTGTAGGAGCTATAAATAGGAGTATGCTCCAAGGACATCCCAAAGAGATGTTTGTACCATGCATTTAAATATATAAGTAGAGTGCAACAAATTAGATCAATGGAATCATATTTTGTGTATCCCTGAATATATTTTAAGTACCTCCTCTATAAGAACCCGCTCAAGGCTTCTCAAGTACATAGGCAAATCCAAATTTAGCTGTTCCACAGATGGGACTCCAGGCTGGGCTGCTCCTGCCAAGGCTCAACTTGAGAAGGGAAAAAGTGATGCCAAGTGAACCTGGGACAGAGGACCCAGGGACTGGTGGGCGGTTTTTGAAGGGTGAGAAATGGTAGCTGCAGAAGGGAGTTTTCCCTCCTATGGCATTAGCTGTCATTGCCACCAGCTCCTGGCTTTCCAGGCTTCTGCCAAGGCATGGGGGCAGGAGGACAACTGCTTTGCTGTCACCATTGGCTTGTTGTCTGAGGTGGTTTTGCACTTTGCCTAGGCCCAGCATCAAAGCATATGTGGTGCTCTGCAGCAAACTAGGAGGCTGTCAAAGTGTGATATTTACTAGCCACAACTTTTTGTCATTATTATTTAATTCTCCCCGCTGGTGGCCCCTATCCTGTTTCAAAGTCTTTTGCGGTACTTTGCATTTTTGTACTTGAAGGCTTGAAAATTAGGCATATATGGACATATGGTACATATATCCTTCACAAAACCTTTTGAAGTTAAAGTGTACGGAGAAGATATGAAGCTACTGTGAGTTTTGAGTAGGAATGAGCAGACAATACCTTTAAAAGTCAGTTCTATTTTTTTATTATTTAATCATTACTTTCAATTGACGAAATTGATTGTAGATGTAAACTTTCTAAGAGCTAGAGATGTAATTTCTTGCATGCTTAAGTTTTTACTGAGTTAATTCCTCAGGCTGCACAAACATGAGCTGAAAACATAGATGCCTGATGACCCAAAAGGCAAGAAAGGAGCTGGCTAATCAATTAGTGAAATTGACATTGGCCTTCCCAATAGCATCCTGGCAGATTGTGCTTGGTTTTTGAAGGGTGAGAAACAGTAGCTGCAGAAGGGAGCTGTGCTCCTATGGCATTAGCTGCCATAGCCACCAGCTCCTGGCTTTCCAGGCTTCTGCCAAGGCATGGGGGCAGGAGGACAACTGCTTTGCTGTCACCATTGGCTTGTTGTCTGAGGTGGTTTTGCACTTTGCCTAGGCCCAGCATCAAAGCATATGTGGTGCTCTGCAGCAAACTAGGAGGCTGTCAAAGTGTGATATTTACTAGCCACAACTTTTTGTCATTATTATTTAATTCTCCCCGCTGGTGGCCCCTATCCTGTTTCAAAGTCTTTTGCGGTACTTTGCATTTTTGTACTTGAAGGCTTGAAAATTAGGCATATATGGACATATGGTACATATATCCTTCACAAAACCTTTTGAAGTTAAAGTGTACGGAGAAGATATGAAGCTACTGTGAGTTTTGAGTAGGAATGAGCAGATAATACCTTTAAAAGTCAGTTCTATTTTTTTATTATTTAATCATTACTTTCAATTGAAGAAATTGATTGTAGATGTAAACTTTCTAAGAGCTAGAGATGTAATTTCTTGCATGCTTAAGTTTTTACTGAGTTAATTCCTCAGGCTGCACAAACATGAGCTGAAAACATAGATGCCTGATGACCCAAAAGGCAAGAAAGGAGCTGGCTAATCAATTAGTGAAATTGACATTGGCCTTCCCAATAGCATCCTGGCAGATTGTGCTTTCTCTAAGCCAGACATAAACAGCATGGTAAACTCAAAAATATAACCCATCTTGATGCCAAATATGGGCCTTGAGGCTACTGATGCATGCAAAATCATTTGTTTAACTACCGGCTGACACGTTTCTAATGAGACAGACAGTGAGTTGCTGTAAACTGAATGTGGTTTTGCCTTCAGTCGCTCAACTTTTTGCTGGCACCTAGAGAGCAGAAAACCCTCTGTGGTCATCTTTTATTGAACTTGGCATTTAGGGTTTTATCTAGATATTTACACAAAATCTACTTAGCCCATTTTTTTACCATCACAATTTTTGTTTCTGGATTGATAGTATAACTTGCATAGTGCCTCTACCTGTTTGTTCTCAAGTCTACCTTCCCAGGCGTGGTTGCAGTTCATGAAGATGTATCTAAACTAGTTGTAAGCTAACTAGATGAGGTATTGATTACACTGTTGCTTGAGTAGTTTGAATTCAGCATGAACTGCTCCTTTAATTTCTTCAGCTCCTAACAGGAACCTGCTGCAGCTGCCCTGTGAGCAGTACCTGAGCTAGTTAAGTCAAAGACCACTTGAAAATGTCAAAATGGTTGCAATCACACCTACACCCAGGCAGCTATGATGTAGCTATATCCAAAAAGAGATCGCTGTGTCAGGTAGGAGTAAAAGGAGTTGATCAGCATGTGGAGTTTCTTTGTGACACAGAAGTTTTAGCAAAGTGGGTGCATGTGATGAGAAAATACTCAGATGAACATTTGTTGATTTATTGTTCAGTATTTATGTTGCAATAGCTTCAGAATAGGCTTCTATCATGCTGCACAAAACTTTAAATCACATTAGCTTCTTCCTCCAAATGTTTTCCAACTTAAAAAGCCAGAATCACAGAGTACTATTTCTGGTGAGGTATGTGCACCTTTGGTGAAGGCACTCTGCCAGACTTCTGTGAGATACATAAATACGTGCCAGGTGCTACACAAGTGTGTTTGTCTGAGGGCTGCTTTTCTCAGTAAATTGGGCACAGAAATTTGGAGTATTAAGCTGTAAGTTGGTCTTGTCATGTTAAGTTATTTTTCCAGAGAAGAAAAAAAGACTCATCTGTCAGTTAGACTACAGATAGAAATTCCTGTGTCTCTGTCCATTTCTCTCCTGACAAGAGAATAAATCACTCCTCCAATTCAAAGCCTTAAGACCACTGAGAAGCATGGAGAATATGTTGGCTTCATTCTAGTAGAGTAGTAAAGGGATAACAGCAATAATTGTTAAGGCAACACATTTTTGGCTCTCCATTCCTCTGATAGGGGCCATAAAGTATGACCAGAGAAATGGTTGCCACCTGGAAAGAATCCAGTGAGAGGATTTCCAAGTAGTCATGAGATGCTTCAGTAGTACATGCTGCTGGATCCCAGCCATCACTACTGAGATATTACGGGCTGATGGCTGGGTCACAATAGCAAACTGCAGTACATAAAACACTGGGATAGTTAGTCAAAAAATGCAGGCATATTGCTTAGTGAATGAAAGAATTTTAATGCTCCTATTGAAAACTACTGTTTGTTCTTTCAGATCCAGCGAATTCAGCTCCATCTATTCTAGATGGGTTTGACCATCGTAAAGCCATGGCAGGACAGCGAGTGGAGCTGCCTTGCAAAGCATCAGGGCACCCCGCACCAAAGTATCGTTGGCTGAAGGACAATGTTCCCTGGGAGCCTGACAGCAGGTTTCGGCAGACAGTTACAGGTCTGCTGATTGAGAACACACGTCCTTCAGACACAGGCAACTATGTCTGCGAGGTGTGGAACAACTATGGGACTGCCGAGATGATAGGGCGACTGTATGTAAAACGTAAGTCCTGGACTGTGTGAAGATTAGTCTTCTTGCCTGGGTGTTTGTGTCAGGGAAGATGCTACCGTGTCTTGCTGTACCTCCTGTTCTGTCACTTTATCTTAGCAATGCTTAAATTTCTCAAAGTTGTGGAACAACAGAAAGTAGGCTCTGTGGTGATGAGTTCGTTGGACAATTGAGCGATCAGA